GCCATTGATATGAGAAGAATGTTCAGAATAGTTTATCACATAAAGGCCTTTGGAGGCCATATATCTGTATTTATTTATTACTAAATAGATACAGGTATAGATATACTTTATCTTGGCATTAGGGAAACAAGGCAGTCATTCCTTGGACTGGCGTAGTAGATCTTATTGCTTAGGGCTAAATATTGCAGCTGCCACTGCAGCTTAGTACCAGCAGGGGGCCAGAGTAATGCTAGAAAATTAGAAAAAGATTGATGTCCTCGGCTTTAAGAGATTTGGAAATACAGCCAGTGGGTAGCAGTCTCACCTAATTTTTGTCATTTACGCTTCCACCTTCCTAACAAAAAGCAGAAGGAGATGGAAGCAGAGTTAGTTATAACAGAAGCCAAACTAATGAAGTTGTTATCCTGCTGAAGTTAAGATCTTTAAAAGATTTCCAAATTTGGCCAAGGATCAGCAATTAATGGATAGTTGGAAATGTGTTTTCATCCTATCAGTTAACCCTCATTTCAGTGCAAGTTGGACACCTCTTTTCTCCTCTAGCATTTCTTCTGTATTCTGCTTTTATGAAAGCAGTTTGAATATCTTCAAGCACGTTCCAAGGCCACAATGTTAATTCTGTCTGAAATGGGAATTATGAGAAGGAGGAACTAGAGATAGCTATGGTATGTGGATAGCATGACAGACTCCTAAGATAGTCAGCAGACGTTTTGCTTTGGGGCTCCCTTTTTGGCATAAGGCTTCTGAAGTGTAAGTCTAGTGTTATTCCTGGGCTACCTGAAGGTGTGACTGTGGTATTCTGTGTATACACTGTGGTCTTCAGGATGAGAGAAAACTAGAGAAACAAAAGCATAAATGAGAAGTGAGAGAAAAAAGGCAGTGGGAGTAAGAGAGAGATAAATACCACTTTAAAAAAAGAAAGATCTGTAGTCACCCAAATTAGCAAAATTACAACAGGTTCACAATACTTGTTAGCATACTCAGCATATACATATATTTTTATAATGATATAAGTAATAATCATTTCTGTTATAACACTTGTTTTGAAAACATAAATTTGTTTTAGTATGATTGATACGTTAGGTACCAGTTGGAGCATAATCCAGATTTCTTGTTTGCTTTTGTGCAGTTTCACGAATGCAGAAAACCACCTAGCTGAACCAGGCCCTGGAGAAATACACAGAATACAGACATGCACACACCTCGGACATGTACCAGCTATCTCTGTGTACCACATGTTATAGGAGTCACATTCATCCACGTTTTTTGTTACCGCTTCTCCAGCTGATTTCAGATAATCCTGTTTCCACTATTTCAAAATAATTCACCAGCTGCAAGTCTTCTAACCCCGCCCCACAAGCAAATGTCAGGTCTCTTTCAAGGAAAAGTGCCATTTTTATTGTGGTATGTATGTATTTTTTAACCACCTAACATATATAAAACTGTGCTACTGTTTTTATTAGGTTTCTGCCTTTAAAAAAAAAAGTCTGACAAAATATTTGAGTATTGAGCTCCAATCCTATTTTCCCCACAATTCCTGTGGTTCTTACTGCATCATATTGTGTAACATGGTGATTTTTAGGAAATGTTACTTCATTTTGTAGCAAAACTGTACATGTTGATTGTAGAATATTTGGATGACACAAGAATACATGAACATGATCACCAGTGTTCCAAATAATGTTAACATTTGGTATTCTTTCCACGTCCATATGGAAGGAAAGGTTCATGTAAAAATATAGAACAAAAATTGGGGGCTCATATTCTTTACCAAGTTTAGCATCTTGGATGTTTTAAGCTTGGTATTATGCAATAAATATATCCTCATTTCTTTAAATATTTTGAAACAACTTGACCATGATTTTCTGTGTGGATGAACGAACTCCACTCACTTAATATTCAGCAGGTATGGTGAGTGGCCTGCAACTATGCTGGTTGCTTGGACATCTACTTTGATTGGTCAGTGCCCATGCCACATGGAATCCATTAAGTAAATATACTCAATCATGTGGTTTTGGACTTTTAGTTTCTGGGTTCGTTCGTTTTTTTTTTTTTTTTGCTCAGTGTTAGTGTGATAAATATTTCTGTATCTGCTTTCTCGCATACTTATTATTCTTAGAATAAATTTGGAGACATTGAATTATTAAACAAAAAGGAATATGAATATTTTAAGCCTTTTACAACTTACTGTTAATTTCCCTACAGGAAAATTTGTAAATTTACACTCTATGTTAAAGTACTACAGTTCTTATTTTATTGTTTCCTCATCAACCTTAGAAGTATAATTAAGACAAACACAAAAGCAAACTTGATTATCTGTTTAGGTAAATACAGCGTTATTGATCAGGAGAGAAGAACGTGGGGGAAAGTAGAGGCTGTCTTACCCAGAGAGCAAATAAATACTCACCTGTATAGCTTTTTTATAGTTTAATGTTTCATTACCAGTATTCTATTTTTATCTTGCAAGATATTTATCATTTTTATTGATCTTTCAAATAATCAGGTTTTGTTTCATTGATATTTTTCATTGTTTTTGTGTCTAACTTTATTGATTTTTGCTCTTTATCATTTTCTTTTTTCTGCTTTCTTTGGGTTCAATTTACTCCACTGGTTTCTCCAGGTGAAAGCTGAGGTTATTGACTTGAAGCATGCCTTCTTTTCTAGTTTAAGTAATAAACGTTAAACACGTCTCTAGATACTTCTTTACCTGCATCCCACGGATTTTGATGTTATGTTTTCCTCTTCATTCAGTTCAAAATAATTTCTGCATTTATTTCTTCTTTGACCACTGGGTTATTTAGTAGTGTGCTATACAGTTCAGTTCTTGGTGATGATTTGAGGGGAACTCTCTGCAGGTCTCTGGGGCTTACTTTGCAGCTCTCTGGTATTTTGCCCTGTAAATTTTAGTCACATTGGCCTTCTGGAGTTAACAACTCTGTCTTTTCAACGCAGGGAGACTGCCGTGCTCTGTATGGGTTCCCCTTCCTGCTCTGCAGCCTGGGGCAAGAGTAAGATTTACCTTGGTTTCCTTTCTTTCAGGGATTACTGGGCTGAGCTGCCTGGTATCCAGGGTCTGAAGACCATTGTTTTATTAATTTTGTCCAGTTTTTAGTTATATAAGGCAGAGGACTAAATCTAGTCCCTGTTACGCCATCATAGCCTGAATCAGATGTCCCTGTAAAATTGTATTTTTAATTCTCTGTCCAAATAATTTTTAGAAGAATGCTCTTTTTAATTTTCAAGTATTAATAGGGTTTTTAAAGAACATTTTCTATCTTTTGAAACGTTTAAAAAGAACTTCTAGTTTCAGTGTGTTATATTTAGAGAATGAAGTTTACACTACTTCTCCTTTGAAAATTTATTGATGTGTTTGTGGCCTAATGTAAGGTCACTTTTTATGATTTCTTTATGTGTATGTTAAAAAATTGTATTTAGTAGGAATCAAATATAAACATACACACATTCATATGTAGACAGTCTAATTATATATTAAATACCTTGTCTTTATTTTGTGCCTTAGAATCCATCATAGACTGATATAAAGTCTCCAAATTTTGAAGTGACTTTAAAAAAAAATCAGCCCTGTATTTATTCTAAGTGCTATCTTTACAAATTCTAAACGTCTTCAGTTATACCAGAACTCTTTGAGTATAATCTTAGACTCAGGAAGATAGTAGGCTCTTAATATCCCTCAGTGGTTTTCCATTTAACGTTTCTTTAAAAATACGAAATATGATTCCAAATTTATAAAACTACTAATTTGAAGTAATAGTCAGCAGGCTGATCTCTAGTCTTAATGCCAATTTTTAGATGTTAAAATTTCCTTATAATATATTTAACTTTTAAAAGTCTAGATTAAATGAGCCAGATAAAGAAATATGTGTTTTATAATAAATATATGTAGGTTAAGAAATATATACTAAATATACATGATATACAGGCTAGGAAAGCTAAGATTTTTTCGCTCAACTTATTTTTCTTAACGATAAACTAGTATTTACAAATATTTACCTTTCACTTTATTCAAGCTCATATTCTTAGAGTTATTTCAGTTCTGCAGAGAGTGAGATGAAAGTAGTAATAGGTCTAATAACTATATCTGCCAGCTCTGTGTTTGGAAGATCTGTCAGAAGAGCCCGAGCATTTTGATTGGAAACACAGTGGGAGACAGAACATACAAGTGTCAGGGGCTAAGGAACTGGAACAGAAGAGTCCACAGCAGGCTCTGACTGGCTTTCTCACAGAGTCAGCACGTGTTCCAAGCTGAGTATCTTGCCTTCTAACTCCAAAGAATCCAACAAATGCCACCGAAGCCTGTCACCAACCATCCCCCTCAGCTTCCTACCTAATTCCTCATCCCCAAACCCTGCAGAGAGATCCATAATTTTAAGATATCTTACTCCATAACTATACAAGTATAATGATGAAAAAAAATTTGTAACCTTAGCTTTTCAAAGTCTCATTGAAGAGGTTTTATGCATCCTGACCAATAGTCCTTGGGTGTAGGAAGGGGGAGACATTCTAAACAAAATAATTTCATTTGGTTTGCACATAAATGGGATAAGCAGCTCTATTTAATAGTTTCGGTGGTAATAACTTTCTGTGTTCTTTATAATTTCCTTTTTATAACTAAAATATTGGTTCTAAGTTTCAAAATGTACCATAGTTTATTAAAAATTAAATTTTCACAAAATTACATTACTTAAAATTAAATTATGAATACTCTAATTCTAACATCTTCCTTGCTTTTTAAATCTCAGGATTAAATTAATAATATTTGTGTATTTACTTGCTGTACTTTCTTATTATGTTTGGAAATAGCATCTTCCCTGAGGAACTAACATATTAGCAGATGAATCTGTTGTTATCACTGTCAACATGCCTTTGTTAGAAACCTTTATTTACATTTTTAAACAATATGGTCAGGCCAGTTTAATCTGTTGACAGAACTCCATGCATGAACAAATAGGATTTAAAGGGAAAAAAATGTGATGAGAAAAAATTCTTGTTTATGCCTAGACTTTTTTTTTTTTTTGGCGAAGAATTAAATTTGCCTCAGCTTAATTGCTTTGCACATTCTTGTGACATTGCATGATTGGGAGGGAGGAAATAAAAGGGAGCTGTGACTGTGTGGTATGTATCTAAATGAGTGCGTTAGAGAGGGAGAGGAGAACGCATAAGCAAGCTGGTTTGACCAGAAACAGAACTGCCTGTGACAGATTAAGAGACAAGCAAGGCTTGGAATCTGAGAGCAAGCGAAGAGAGTGGAAATTTACAGCTGCCCTGTGTGAGTGTTCAAGTGATCATTTTCTGCTAACGTTTTCCGGTGGTAACTGTTACTCTTCAAAGAGAAAGACAGAAAGTCAAGACGGGATTGTGGAAACTCTTTTCTCTGCCACAGTTTGGTAACAGGAGGTACCCTCTATTAAATGGAAGATAAAGGCTACTTCATCTAAAGTGCTTTGAGCCCCAGAGAGAGCTGTCTTCAGCACCTCACCATGTGTCTACTTTTCGTTGCTTAGACAAGTCTGGGCTTTTCTGTAACATTTGGTGAGTATCAACCAAGTTACCTATACTGCCTCACAGAAAAGAAATTAATATGATAAACTTCAGTTTTATTTGAGGCTTTACAGTTCTTGCTTATATATTCATTTTAAACCATGCTGTTACCTTGTTTCTTTGTGCATGATGAACTGCTGTTACTAGGAGAGATTTTAAAAAACAACTACAAAACAATACTTCTCTGTTGCCTAAGGCACTTGAATCATTACCAACTATTCTGTGTCCATGGAATATCTTATTTTGGAAATGAGTTTTTATTTACAAAGAGTTTCTAAAAATAAAATAGTGGCAGGATACCATTTTTCATGTTTCTCTTTCAACTGCATGAAAATTCAAAAGTTACCTCTCTGTCTATTGTCAGTAAATTTAAAATGATCATTGTGGTGTTTGGTATTTTTAGTTATTATAAATTACAGCATTCCCTTATAATTCAATTAGAAATGTTAATGATGCCATTACTTAAAGGGATATATAATTTAAATGTTGAATGCTTCTGTTAGATCCAAAGGACACATGATTTTTTCAAAGTTCTGTAAGGAAAATAAAAATTAGACAATTTACATATCAGATTTATTATTTGATACAAAATGAGTGCAGATGGATTTCAAATTAAGGAATAAGCAGTTATTTTGTTCTTACAGCTGGTATATATATTGTGCTCATATAATACTATTCTGCTAAAGAACTGTTTTAACCAGAAGCATATATGTATATAAGCAACAGAGCAGGGAAAAAAGAATAAACTCTTAAAATGTGTATTTACATTCAGTAAAAACTTCATTTATATGATCTTAACATAGGAGATTGCATACTAATTTTATATACGTCTTTTTAAAGGCATCGGTGCAAGGCATGTAATCATTCTTCTGTGGGAGGAAGGAAGTGTATATGGTTAGCTGCTCAAGTGAGTCACTGCATAAAGATGCATCATTCTAAGCAAAGTTTCTAATCTACTCTCTGCCAGCCTCAAAAAAAGATGTCCTTAGTTATTGATTCAAGTGAGTCCTTTAAGGCAGATCAACTTGGCAGAAATTAAAACTTCAGCAGAGTGTCAATGAACATATTGAAAGAGTTTGTAATTTTATTTTACAAATAATTTTAAAAGGCTGTACTTTCCCTAATATTTCCTGTATGTGTGCAGAAGCCTGTAGAACAGGTTTTGTTTTGTGGGGGTTTGTGGGTTTTTTTTTTAACCTGTTGATCTATGTATAAGAAGAAACTCAGCTGGTCTGTGAAAACCGTTTCTGGACCAATATCTTGCACTTGAAGTCAAAAGTAACTACAATAGAGATAATATCACAAACCAACTTTTACTGTTTTACAGCATTTCCCACATTTCCCTTCCACAGAACTTCCCTTCCATCCTTAGACTGATGGAAGATTTGCACACAGCTTTATGAACTTGAGAATAATTTTTTACTTTCAACTAGTAATTCATTGGTATTATCTTAGTAGTGGCCCATTTTTTAAGCCATATAGAAATAAAGAATAAGTCACCCCCAATTTGCAAATGTTTTACACCTTAGAAGTTTATTTGTGAGTGGGTTGTTGGGAATTTGGGACCCATCTTCTCTGGGAAACAGTTTAACAAATGATTGCTTTGTGTTTATTACATTTTATATGCACTATAGGAAAACCATTGCCACCCTGAAAAATATTAGAAAATTTTAGCTGTATAAAATCAATTATAGTGATGAAACTAAATATAAAGACAATTATATTGAATAAGACATTATTTTTATTTATCCTAAATATTAATGCTTGAAGAAACTCAGTATGCTTATCAGTGGGATTTTTAGGTACTTTTCAGAGCTTCCAAGGTTGACTGCACTGCTTATGAGATCTAATCTTACATTAAAATCAGTGATGCTTCTTTTCCTTCCTACAGGAATATTTCTAGCCACTGCTTTTATGCTTATCAGTCATTTCTGAGGAGTAGCCCAGTGCCTGGCACATAAATAGCTACCTAATACATAGTTACTAAGTGAGGACTGAACTCTTTCTTTGGTTCACAAAAATGGAACTGAGTAACTTTTCCAAGGTATCTAAGAAAGGAAAGGGGTTTAGGGACACACACTTTTCATTATGAGAAAGAGATGGCCTGGCAAGAATTGAGTTTTAAGAAGCAAACAAAGCAATAGAAGTACAGAATAGGCCCAACTCAAGAGAAGACGAAAAGGTGGTGGTATAACTTGGTGGTGATCCTGAGCTGGTAGGGAAGCTGATGAGGAGACGTAGTTTACAAGCTGGGTATCTTGACTTGGAACGTTCTGAAGTAAGTTGTCAACTTTAACTCAGAAGAATTATGTATTTGCATATGTGTACTAGGACCCATACAAAGAAATGTGGCCTATTTGGAAAACTCAAATTAGGCCTATCCAAATTAAGTTTAGTTATATAGTCCCCAAAAGTTTCTCTACAGTAATGGAAAATAATCTGAAATATATGTTATATATATATAATATATAATTTAATTACTTTGTTGTACACCTGAAACCAACACAAACTTGTAAATCAACTATACTTCAATTTTAAAAAGTTTCTCTAAAGGGCCAAGATATAAAATGTTTAAGTTAGTAATGCAATAAACATATGTATGAAATAATTAATAGTGAAATAAACAATACAGTGAATACAGATTATACTTATCTTGGATGATTTTTAGTGGCAGAAAAACCTTTTCATTTGATCAAGAAATACTGTCTTATATTTCAGATCATATTTTAAAAGTAATGATTTTAAGTAGTCTAAAGTGCCACATAGTAGGTGCATAATATATATCTGTTGAATGATTGAATGAAATGAAGTGGAATAGTTTGACAATTTTCCATTTCTGAGATACGGATGCCCGTGGACATGTATGTGTACATATGTACTTATAATGCAGCTTAAAGATAATATTTAGCTGACATTCCTTTAGCAAGGAAAAATCTATTATAGCTATATTAGCATGCTTTTTACTTATGGACATACATAATGTTCCGCTGGTAATTAAAACAATTGGTTTGAAATGAAATCTTTACTCCTTGTAAGTGAAACAAAAAATTTTTCAGTTTTGTGAATTATGTCTTAAATTTCTAGCAGAAACTCATCTAGTCTCTTCCAGAAACATCACTGTAAATGAAGTTTCTGATTTTTTTTTTCTGGAAGAACAGTCTAGTAGGTTAATATTTAGAATAATAAATAAATTGGTAGTTGTATGTCTTCCTAACTTCATATACTAATTCTGTTTTTGAATTATTTCATTGATTATAAACATTAGAATTAAGAAGCAATTCCCAAGGACATGGGTTTTTCTTCTTCTTGTAAAAGAGTTTTTATCCTGATGTAAATCTGATCAAGGGTTCCAGATAAGTAAGGGTACATAAAAACTTCTTACAAGTTGTCCATTTCTATGTAAATTGTTCATTTTTAGAAAATGTCTCTCCCTCAAAGTCTGTTAATAAAACTTACAAAAACAAGATCATTCTTAGTCATTTTGAACTGAGGAAAAGGATGATCAGTGAAAGTCCTTATTTATACTTTTTCTACCGATTTTCACTCATTTCTGTAGGTTTTCAAGTACAAAACTCAATTGCAGCATTTTCTAATCACATATAGGATGTATATTTTAAAATGGAACAACTGAAGGGTAGAGGGCATTGATTGGAAGGTACTTTGACATATGCTTTATGATGGATTTGGCATCATAACATATATAACTATAATGATATACTTTGTAAATCATTATATCTGAGAAGGCAATTCTAAATTATGATTTTGTGATGGGAAGAGGCCTATTTGGATACAAATACAGTAGAACTTTTAGGTGTACTTGTTTGTAAAATTTACATTTGATCAAATGTACCTACCCATTTTAAGAGAACATTTCACTGAATATTGACAAATATATATACTCATGTACTCTCCATCCCATTAATTTTTTTAAATGAATCTTTTTGGCCCAATTATTTGACATAGGTGCACTTTTGATTGCACTATTTCTATTTGTGAGTCCTATTTGAAATATAGATAAAGGAATGGTAATTCCTCAACTTCTCTGAATTTTTTTTTAATATGGTGGTTTAATTTTTGTTGGTTTGAGAGAAGGTCCCTGTGACTTCAGTTTAACTGTTCCCCTCTCACTTATTGTTGATTATGAAGTAAACCTGTATGGAGGAAAAGAAGGCTCATTTTTGAGCTGGCTTTCTTACAGTGAGTTAGAAGCTTGGTTATATTTTTTATGGTTGTACCTGTGGAAATCTTGAGACTTTTCTTGTCTTCAGAGATAAATCCTCCACTCCCTTAAGCTTTTGTGGGAAATCTTCAAAATTAGAACTATTGTTGAACAGCACAGTTGGAGGTTCGTCATAAAGGCCTAGAAATACTCATTAGCCACCTACAGATAGACATTTATTCCCCTTTAAAACATTTTAAGAGATAACAATGAGGGCATTTAATGTCCCCAAATGACCCTTCTCCCACCTTTCCTGTCCCTGTCCCCCTTCAAACACACTCCTCTCCACTTCTGTCACTGAGCATGTTCCGATGACTCACTTGAGCGATTGGCTTTGGGCCATGTTTAGAGGAGCTCACACGTAAGTTAGGAATATGAAATATTTAACTGTGTATTAGAAAAGGGAATGCTGCCAAAATCTATTACAAAATCTACAGGGCCTGAGTGCCCTGGGAGAAGAGCTAAATACTTTTTTTGGCTTTCTCTCCAGAATCTGAGCCAAGTACTACTCTTCATGAAATTTCATAGCCAAAGTAACAGAAATCATATTTGTTTGACTAATGCTTTGAAAAGGCATGATGATCAGATATTCCACAGTTTGAACTTTAGAAAAACAACTGTTTTGTCATTAAAAATAACATCAATGAGAAGGTGTTTCCATTGTAAAAGCATTTGCATGATCTATTAAACAAAGTTTGGGGAAAAAAGAGAAAATTTGAAGGCAGAAGAAAATTAAATATTCATAAGCCAGCTACCTGAAGGCAATCACTAT